AGGAAAATCCAAGCAGAGTATCTCCCTGTCGACACGTTACGAGACGTGTATGAATCGGCACTGACATGGAGGAAGCTAGCAGAATATACAAGAAAGGCGCTGGAGCGAAGAGAAGCCCTCATAGATAAATTTGACTGACTATGGCTGTATACATGAAGCCTCCAAATAAATACTTCTTCTTATTCTCTTTTTGACAGGGTTGCCAGGGCCATAATATCAACACCAAAACTCTCACACTCGTAGAAGCCTCAATAAACAATAAACAAAAATGCCTTGAATAAAATAAATATCCTCCCGTCACACTGGGTCGTTCCGGCAGGTTCGCGGCGTTTCTTGGTTTTGCGTGGGGGAATCCGTCGGAAAAAAACATTCGAGGGCTGGACGGATTTCCTTCCTCCATGGAGTTTTCGTTCGCAAGGGAGGAAGAAAAGAAGAATAGGATCAAGCCGGAAAAAACCCACTAGAAATAGGGCATGCGCGTGGATGCGATTGAGAGCTGTTACCATTTCCACTTTTACCACAATAAGCCTAATCTTGGATTGTGAGGGGGGGGGGGAGGGGGGGAGGTTACTTCTCGTGTCGAAACTGCTGAAGACCAGGTTTACGAAAGTCGTAGAATTTGAACCAAAACAATGTCGAACTACTCTTATTTCTAGGCAATATGCCTCCCGAGGCTGAAGGTTATGAAAAGACGAAGAAGTTTTAAAGTTTGTGGCATTGAAACTTGCAATATGTACACGTGGCCCAATAAAAGAGGCGTAACTTCATTTTTCAATATGTCGTTCGGCAAGGTCCAACCTGACTTTCAGAGAAATGAAATTCGATCCAAAGGAATTTTCTACATAAAACGAGCTTCCACGCGATTTTTTTGGAATCCCTTTTGACCCTAATGACGTAGCGCCACTTCGAAACGGAAGTTGTAAAAGTTGCACGAAACACCTGCTCCTATCGCCTTCAGTGCGATCTCTCTTTTTTTTTCCTTTTTTCCTTTCGTCTCGAACGAGGACCGACCCTGGTCACACGTCCTGATCTCGTAACAGCATTTTGTATCAGCGGCATTATCTCCTGCCTGTTGATCACGTCACATTTAAAGCCTGGAAAATCTGTCCCGTTAGGAGACCGTAGGTCCCTCGCGACGTCCTTATCTAATAGCTCGTAAAAAAAAAAAAGAGAGAGCCTACAATACATTCCAACGTTCGAAGGATCGAAGCCGAGCGTGCATTTCCTTCTTCATTCGAGAGTCAGACGCATTCGACGAGACCGAGTCTCATGAAGCGAATCGAAACGGAGGGGGCAGATTCCCATTTTTCCGGCTCGGTCGAGACATTTTCTCGTGGACGCGGTCGAGTTCCTGCGAGGAAGGAAGAACCCATTTTTTTTTTTATAACCGTAAAGCAGTACGACCGTATATTAACAGTTTCGAACTTGGCGCGTTAATTTCTCTTCGAGGATCGATATGGCTTGTCGTATTTGGAGGGTTGCTTGCGCTCGACTTCGTGGCCTTTATCCTTGCACTCGTCCATGCTCACAGAATACGAATAGCCTTCCGTATTTTGGCACGTTACGTGGCTGTCCGAGGCTGGTTGCCCGATGGTATCGCTTCCTCAGGCGTCGAGTTTTCAAACTGCGCAGCTGTTTCGAACAGATGCGACTCGATTATGATCGCAGTCGTGCGGGAATTCGAACAACTGTGACTTGAAACCCGCGGGACGATACCCATCTCCCATTCGGGGGGAAGTCGAAGTTATTCAAGAAGCGCCTTGCATTAGTGAGTCTTCTGATGCCGATACATCGAGAGGCTGCGATAGCCAGACTTCCCGTCGTCGAATGAATCTCCTCGTAAGCCATGAAAACTTGTCCGGTAGAGAGCTGAACGAAACGAACTGCGAATCCCTTGCAGAGTGGTGGAGGTCGGAGCGACCCACTTCAGCCATCTCTCCGGCGCGATGACCCACGACGCCCGGGTCTACGTGTGGGGCCAGTGTTGGGATCTGCGCGTCCCGACCCCCCGTCTCACCCCGTTTCGTTCCATCAACGACGCCTTCGCGTCGTTCTCGAGTCCGTCCGTGACGTGGAGCCCAATCTCCGTCGACGTCAGGCCTCGTGATGACGTTCTGGACTCCCTGAAAGCCGCATTTGACAATCCGGTGAGTTCCATCCGTACGCTCCTCTTTCGCCTAGGAGTCCCTAATCGACGAACATCTGGACCCTTGCACTTGCTAGAACCACAAAAACGTTTACCAGAAGAGTACCGTGGCGCCATGTGCCTCGTTATTACCCAATCGAAGGTGTCCTGCGACGGTTGGAAGCCGCTTCCCTACGTTAATGATCCCAGAAGGTTCTTTATCTGTTACGATTTGTATCGTTCAAGCAAGTTTTTGGTTTGATTCGTTAGTTTACAACTGCATCTCGTGCCAATATGAAAAATCTTACTCAGCGAAAATAGAATAACTGGCATTTATGACTTTTTTTCCTCTTCCATTTTTTTTCTGCCACATCTTCCATATGTCTCTGCGATAAGGCGATTGAGGAATACCATGTTTTTACATTCTGGACCATTGCTTAAACGTTTCTGACGAAAAAGCTCCAGTATTGGGTGGGGGGAACGAGTCAAGAGGAATTTCCATTACTCCGGAATTCTGTTAACATACCTCGAGCATGTGCACGAGTCGGTGCTGGGAAAGTCCTATCAATGGACAATCAAACAATGCTTAGTTGGAGTTCTGAATGTGGAGGACACAGGAATGTATTTAAATATTTTTCTTTATGCTCCCGGTCATGAGAGAAATAATGAATTCAGTGAAAGCTCTGCCTACTTTTGTTCATACCTTATCATCTAGGGATGCTATATCGAGAAAATTGTGTCAGTCAGATTAGTTTTTATTATGTATGATGTGAATTGAGTGAGGGATTCGTGGCCGATACGGTACCTAAACATTGACATCATCCTTGCCCCTAGCACCGCTGATGTAAAAAAAAATTCTCGCTCGATTCTTGCTTGGACAGGAACGAAGCGACATCCGCGTGCTGGTGGAAGGGCGAATCATCAACGCCCACAAGTCGTTCTTAGAGATCCGCTGCAGATATTTCCACTCGCTCTTCGCCCACCGGAACGCGCCAAGAAACAACGTTGAAGTGCGTCCCTCCTATCCCTACGACATCTACCACGCCTTCCTCCGCTACCTCTACACGGGCGAGTTGAGGCCGGACATCGAGATCGCCATCGGGCTGTTCGACGTGGCAGCCGAGTACGGGGAGCCGCAGTTGAAGCGGGATTGCGAGAAGGTCATTGCGAGGGGGATCACGGTCGAGAACGCGGGGAGGCTCTATGCCGTTGCAATCAAGTACGGGGCGGAGGACTTGGAGGATTTCTGCTTTCGGTTTTGCGTGAATCATCTGACGAGCGTGGCGGTGACGGATGCGTTCCGTCGGCTCGACGAGGGAGTCATGAAGAACTTCATCGAAAAGGCCGCATACACAGGCGCCTTCAGGCGCTGACTTGCTCGGGTTGGCTGTTCTGACGTATGTTGACTTTCATGGAATGAGGCTGAATGTGATTTTCTCAAAAGCTCAGCCTGTGTAATTGATGCTCATTTGTTCCTGGAGTATTTCTGGGAGTGGAGACTATGTAGGACTTAGGACCACATATCGTTTTATTTACATTTTCTGAAAACATGATTTTTCTGCGCAAATGAACGAATGCATCCATATTACTCATGAACCTAAGTGTTAGTGAGAGGTCGCTTCTCCTCCTAGACGGTATGAACCCTGACCATGAAACTTGAATCTTAAGGGTAAGCTCTACCCTTAATTTCCAACCTGAAAATTGAAAAGCGCTCTCTTGCAAAAGTACACCCTCTCACCTCTATAAACAATATATCAATGAATTACGGATTTGAAGCTCCTTCCATTGAGTGAGTTAGCAAGTTCATTATCAAGTCCTAATCAGTACTTAATATCTGTATCTCAAAAACGGCAAAATCGATCGCAAAACCAGGAAATCAGTCCAAATAGATTTTCATCACGAGCCAATACACCAAGTGGCTCTTCCTAAATTGGACGCGTTTTCATGCAAATCGAGCAAAACTTTTGCGCCATAGAGTCCCATTATAACGGTCTGGTTACAATCTCTAAAGCCAGATGGCGAACGTGTCCCAAGCTATCGAGGAATAGGCCTTGTAAATGAGGACTTGACCCCCTCTTGTTCCCTATCAGTCGGTCACTCAGGATGGTTGTGGCGAGAGCCTCCATGGATGTGAAGAGCAAAGGGTGAGCATTCCCCCTCGAGGAATCCACGTCTCGACAGGGGAGGAAGGGAAGGGGAAACACGAAGAAACCAGACACTGAAGGCCTTTTCCTTCCTTGGCGTGGAAATGACGACTTCATTCGAAAATGACTTCTGTATTCGATGTCCATGTAAACGGTTGAGTATGCTCCGCGGCATATAATCGCGAGTGTAAACTCTCTAGTGCGTCATGTACAGTTTATTCAAGAATGCTCCTGCGATATCGTGTCAAAGACACACCTCGGCCTGCAACACAGTGGCAATGGGAGCCGATAGAGAACCTAAGCTATCTCTTGACCTCTCATTTGAATGGAGAGATGTTAATTCAATGGGACGGGTATCGGGGAATCATTTGTCTGTGAGCCATACAACTTTCCACGATGAAAACAGCTCCGTTTTTCCAATCATGGCCCTCATTTCATCAAGAAAGTTTCCAAAGGTTTCTATAGTGAGACCACCATTCATAATCTTCAAATGTACTGAAATTCATGTGTGGAAGAAATCACAGCATTTAGAGACATGTTCCCTCCTCGTTGAGTATCAACCCAGTCTGGTCTCGTCGATGGGCAAATATGAGAAAGCCTAACTGCAAACATATTTCAGCGTGGAAATTAAAGCAGAAACCCTCGTATCAGGAACTGAATAATATGCTTTGTTTTTGGTTCATAGGTTCATGTTAGCTATTGTACTGAAAGAAATGCCAAAATCTCTTTCCCGTAGATGGGCGACTATCTGACTATTGATAGACCCTGTTCGCATCCGAGCAAAAATGTTCTGACGCTCGTGAGGAAGTTTCACTCCGTGTCCCTCTCCATCCTATGAGCCGACTTTGAGGCATTATTCATCTCTTTTTTTTTTTAGAGGATGTTCTTTCATGCATGTTATACCGAAAACTTGCTTTCACATGTCACAAGGTTAGAGAAGAGAGGTAATCCTGAATAAAGTCGTTCTTTCCATGGAGAAAAAGGAATTGGGAAAAAAATTGTTCTTTACTGTCTGGTTTCTCATTGCCTCCCCTCCAATGTCTGGATATGAATTCTTTTCGGGTGAATGCTCACCCAAAAAAAAAACATATTCCCCGGCATGGAATGATCTCAGTTCCTAACAATTAAATAAATTAGGGAACAGGAGCCCGCATCACCATGTTCAAGGAACGAAATGTCGAGGAAAGATGGAGTAAGATAATTTTTGACCATTAGGAAACGAAGACGAGGTTTATGACCATCGCGGGCCTGCCACTTTCCATGACAGGTCTGACATAGGGAGAAAAGCCTGCTACTACGATCTCAGAGTATGTTATCTGCACTGTGATGCGGCTTTTTTCATGTTATTTAAAGTCATCTTTCAAATCTCATTTGTGTGCATCGAGGAGCATGACTCAAGTAGGAGAACGGTGGAAGAGAATTAGAGTGACATGCACAAAATTAGCTATATATATGTATATATATACTAGCGAGTTTGTTTGCCCTTCGGGCAAACAAACTCGCTATGGTCGCACCTTCGGNTCGCCCCCTCGAGAAATTTTCCCCCGGGGATGTATCAAGACTTAACATTTTTCTTTAACTCTTGGTAGTCACATTCATGCAAAGTTCCAGCTTTCCATGTCCATCGGTTTATCTAATGGGAAAAAATTACGTGAAAACATTCTCCCTTTGAAATTCATGCCCCAGGCCATTTCATTCCAAAGTCTGAATTTTTCTGCACACAGCATCCCGGTAGGTAATTATGTACCAAGTTTCATCTTTCCACACTAGCTCTATACAACAGGACAAAAAAAATAAAATTCTTGAAAACGTCGGCCCCAAAAATATGCCCCCAGGGCATGGATCTAAAATTTTGCATATCTCCTGAACTCATCGTGTCAGTAGGAACGTCCATGCCACGTTTCAGCTTTCCATGTCTCTCCGTTTTATTGAAGCAATGGACATGGAAGGCAAGAGAAATGAAAAAAAAAGGCATGGAATGGTTAGGAATTGAACCCAGACCTCACGATTACCGGTTCGATGTGCTACCACTACACCGCCGAAACGGTGACAAACAACGCATCTTTCGATGACATCCTTATCCATCACGATATATATTTTAAAAAAAACTTCTCCCCCCAAAATGTGTACCCCCAGGGCATGTACCTCCAAAGTCGGAGTTTTTCTGAACTCTGCACCCCAAAAGGTACATGTGTACCAAGTTTCAGATTTCTAACATTTCTGGAACATGGTTAGAATTAGCGTCAGTCAGTCAGTCACGATCGTCTATATATATTAGATAATTCAGACGACAACATAACGTTTTGAAACGGTATGACCACGCCGATGTCTCCGGGCGATGAATGCAGATCGCGGAGATTGAAGGAAGGAGAAAAAAAAAAAAAAGGGGGAAGTTCGTTCTCCTCAATCAGATAAGAGACCCCATGGAGGTAGATGGATTTTTGGGAGGGAAGGGGGGGTGACTAGGGCGACAGAAGCAGGCGATAAGTATGGGGGCGAAGCTGTGGTCACGTGACCTGAGGAGAAGCCTTTGAAATATCCCACTTCCTGTCGGAGTGAGCCCTGAGGGGGAAAGAGGGGCGGGGAGACGCTATGCGACATCTATGCATCACCTGTCGCCCTAGCTTATTTTTCAGGAAGGGTAGGACCCCCCTTAAACTGCTATGGAACGTTCCAATTCAGACAGACCTGGCGATCGGGGCCAATAAACCTGACATTGTAGCAGTCGATAAACCAACAAAGACCGCCAAATTAATAGAGATCGGTGTCCCTGCGGATTCCGACCTCCAACAGAAAACCAGGGAGAAAATGGATAAGTACACTGATCTCGAAATCGAAGCGGAACGAATGTGGGGCACCAGCATCGTCCCCATCATAGTCGGAGCAACAGGAGTGGTTCTCAAGGATTTCCAGCGCCATCCGAAGTTAAATGCTCCATCTCAGAACTCATACAAAAAAGCGCGATCCTCGGAACAGCTCATCTTCTCCGACGAATTCTCGAAAGGCAATAGGGATTTAAGACTGAGGTCGAGGTTCCATCCGACACATCCCGCGAAAAAGGCCGTGGAAAATATATACTCTTTTCGAATGCAGAGATTGGTTTCAACGTGTTTTGCCCCGAGTAAATCTGCATACTTAGAGCATAAGTCATGAAAATTTCCTTCTCTGCTTGAAATGACTCTGGAGAGGGCAACATCGGATTTGGAGAAAAAGAAAGAAGTACCTGTCATAAGTACCTGTCAATAGTATTGCAACCTGCTCCTCGGAAAAGTAACTCGTGATGGGATTGAAAAAACTGATCTAAGGTCTTAGCTTGAATTTGAGCGGGCAGACCGGTCTCTCCCGGCCGACGTAGTCCATGGACGCATGACCGAAGGAATTGGGGCAGAACGACTGAAAATGACAAATAAAATCCGAAACCTTGCCATAGCATCACGATCCATTTTTGTTCCTTCCCGTAAACTAGACTCCTCGGCTTTCGTGGTGATGAGGACGAACAAAATTATTATTGAAAAATGAATCTCGAGGACACACAGTGTGGCACATTTCATTTCATTTTGCTATTTTGCATCAATAATTTACGCGACGTAAGCGTAGTGGTTTGTAACCAAACTGCACAAAAATCGCATCGTAGTTGTATCTCATTTGGCGACGGTCTTTAGCAATCGCTCCACCAGTAACACTAAGCGCTAACGAGAAGTGCCACACACGTGAGAGCAGACACTAACTGGACCCGAGGAAGCAGAGGATGCCCTTCTGTCCCCCGTCCATCTTTCGCCTTGCATTCCCTTGCCCTTTCTCTCCGCTCTTTCCTCTCTCTCCACTCTTTCCTCTCTCTCCACTCTTTCCTATCCTCCACTCTTTCCTATCCTCCACTCTTTCCTCTGCCCCTGCCCATGCATGCATTCTGCATCCACTTTCCTTCTCGTTCCATGTGCTAATATATTAATACAATGCGCCAGCGAGACCAAGGAATGGGGTCATTGTAATCAATACATCCGATGACTGGTCATGTTTTATGCATCGCATTTACTCCCTCCAGGTCGATTCTACGTCGAGCGTCCCTCATTATGAAAACCTTTTCCCATTTTTCCTACGAGGGTCTCATCGGATCGTCGCCGGTTCTTGCGTCTTGGACGCGCCTTCGGGGAGGCGGCTGCCTGGCTCGGAGGTGAGGGGAGGGAGGGAAGTCGTTTGGCTTATTCCGGGTGGGATCGGTGTGCTTGGGTGGTTCCTCTGTCGTCTGGGCTGGAAGGAAGAGGCTCGTAATGTTTTTATTCTTCGGCAGCACTCTGGGAAGCCGTCGGCCAGATAGATCTGCGCCGAGGACGAGATCGCGGAGATCGGGGTGGCTGCGGGAAGGCGCTTTTGGGATTCCTCGATCGAAGAGGACCTACCTCATCCCTCGACCGGGATTCGTCGCGAAATCAGGTGAGTTGGCGTTCAGGGTAGTGAGAAACGAAGAAAGCACTACTTGCAGAGGATCTGCTTTATCGGATGATCCGCGAAACGACAAACGTGGAAGACGTCACAATCTGGAATCGATGGATTCGCTCTTACGGAAACCCTTTTAACAAAAAAAAGCAGTGTTCGTTTTAAGGGGTTCCGAGAAATCGTGACGGAGGTGGAATCGTAGGCTGAGCCCTGGATAGATTATCGGACAGGGTGAGGGGGGGGGGGACGAAGGAAAACTCCAACGTCGCCTGCTTGTCTAGTGCGTATGTACCAGAAGTAGGCGTGTCGATAATATATATTATAGATCCAGATCGTGTCCATAATATATATTATGGACACGATCTGGATCGATGCCGTACTTGCGATGCGCTCAAGTTTCACCACCTCAGACCACCTTCTTTCTCCCTCTCTCCTTCTCCCATCGCGAAAGGTAATTAGGTATTGCACTCGCAGTTTCGTCGTTATCGGTTTTTGCCTCGCGTCCGTAGAACATCTGCTTCGCGTGATGCGCATGAGGCCTGGGTCGAGCAAGTTTCTATCGGCTGAGGAAAGTCGGGGGAACGAGGTCTGATTCCTTTCCGGGCGATGCGCCGCGTTTTTCCGGGGGATCCCGTCGTTCCGAGGGAAGAAGTGAGAATCGGCCACGTGATAATTGGGGTTTCTGGTCAGAATCGGAGCGGAAGTTGGCTGGGTGCGGTGGAACATTTTCAAAACCGTTCTTTAACGGTTTACGGTGTCTTAACATCTCCGAGAATCGGGGGCGATCGCCATCGTCAGCCGGTCCTCTTTAAGCATCACTCCGTCGATGAGATGCAATAAGAGGAAAATAGGATCGTCGCCGGCGAATCGGCTAGGAAGCGGGGCACCGCGATCATCGCGGCGATGCCAGGCCGTTCGCAGGGAAACGAAAGCAGCGAAGCAGGGGCAAGAGGTGCGGGCTGAGGCTCGCAGAGATCTGAATCCGACGAGGAACCGGGAACAGCTGATGGCGTGCATCGAGGCGATCGCCATTGCAGATCGAAATGTAATAATTAGAATAGGGACGCCGGTCCCCGGCGGGATTCCGGCTTCTTCTCGCGAGGAACTCGGTGGGGTGGCGGCGGCGCAATTAACGATCGGGAAAAAATCGTCTTTGCGAAATTACGAGAAAACGACGAGGTTCCGGCGTAACTCTTACCGATCTTTAAGAGGGGGGATGAGAACGATCCGGAGAACTGTAGGTCTGTCTCCGGAACATCGTTCCCTTAGATGTTCGCAGAAAGCGCGAGAGGGGACCGGGCACGGAAATCTCAGGAGGGGAATTCGGTCGTCGGAGAGCCCGAGCAAAACTGCGAGGAGGCCGAGTTCCGGTCCATTCGGGCAGCGAACGCGATGGAAGCGTGAGATATATTTCGACTAAGTCAACGCCTAGGATGAAGTTCTTCGCGAGATGTTGCGGTCGGAATGAATAGTCCCTTGGGTTAGCCCCTTGGGATTTCAGCCTCGACTGGACGTGGAAAGAGCAATCAGTGTCCGAGTGACCTCACGAGTCCGGTCGCGAGTGGAGTGAAGGGGGTGGGGGGGGGAAGAGGGGGGGAGCATCTCATCTGATCGAGTGACATCGTCAAGGGCTTCGATAACGTGGGTTGTCGTCGGGTCGACCAAGAAGCAGTTGAACGAGAAGAAACCCATTCAAGTTGCGCGAGCCTCGTGTGGGATTCGAGCAGAGGAATTGCTTTTATGGGAGCGCGGGACGCCGTTAAAGGAAGATGCAGTCCAAGGCCCTTCAATGGATGCGAAGGTCCATGAAGGTCACAGGCCTGCACGGACGAGACAAAAACTGGACCGATTTCGCCATAATCGGACGGTAGATTGACGCCTTCAAAACGTAATCATCGTAATCAGGCTCGCTGTTCGGCCCATAGACCTGAACGACGGCCAAGACTCCGACTTGCTCCAGTCTGAGGCGGATCAGAGCGACACGTTCGCTGACTGGGTTCCATTCAATAATGATTTGCCAGATGGGGACTAATGAATATTCCTACTCCAGTCTGAGCAAACACGGTCGAGTCAACTCCGCTCCAGTAGAGGGTCCATCCGTGGGCTAGGGAAATGGAACCGGTGCCTTTCCTCTTGGTTGAGGCTAGGCCAACTATATCTAGTCGTCTCCTCCTAGTCTCCTCCACGAGTTCAGGCTCCTTACCGCCGAGTGTTAGCACGTTCCAAGTCCCGATGTTCAGAGTCCGTTACCAAGGTCGTTTACCGTTCGATTCCGCTCCTGGTCTGCCCTTGGGGCATCGTGCCGAGAGTACGCTATGGCCGGTGGCAAGCCGACCGATAGGCCTGGATGTAGCATGACGGGGTCCGACGCACCCAGAGACGTCGGATTGCCCGGCCCAATTTATCGATAGTCACCCTGGGCGCACAGTGACTGTCGCAGTCCTGATTATCCTGGGCGACGACTGAACCAGTATGGAGTACCCGAGCCGAACTCATCATGCTGGATTTGGTTCGTCTTGGTCACCCTCAACGGAAGCCCCTATAACATGGTTGGACCTGAGATATTACGGCCTTCCGCATCACTGGGGTCCATCCTCGCGACGTGGACGCGCGAACCTTTGAGGACCCATTTGAAAGTAAAAGTCAAGAATCGCTAGAATGGCCCGACCTCGGTTAAATATCGGTCACCAGAAGAAAGAAAAGGTAGAACGAACGATACAAAATGGCACAAAACCGTCACGTGCGCTTTAAGCGAAGGCGATTCATTCGCAGGATTGATTCGTCGGGAGAAAATATGAACCTGCAAACAACGGAAGACGCTGGGAGAATCCCAAGGGACTATCCAGAGCCGGAGAACGAGGCGCCTCCCAACCCGGTGCGTTACAGCGGGAGGCAGACGGATCTGGACAAGTGGCTCATCTTCGGCTCCGTGGACGCAGACTTCCTCTCGACCCTCCGCACGGTCCTCGTCTTCGGTGAGAGGCACTCGCGGGCCCCGCCCGTCCCGCTTCCCGACTCCCGGTCCTCACGAGTCTCACGAATAGGGATCACGGGGAGCGAGGCCATCTTGGTGACGAGGGAAGGGGACGTTTTCGGGCTCGGGGCGAACAGTTCGGGCGTCCTCGGCATCGGGACGGAGGATTCCACGCTGGTGCCGCGTAGGATAGAAATCCTCTCGAGGAGAGGCGTCACCAGTGAGTTTTTTCCCCCCTTTGGGGCGATCGATCGGGAAATGCCAATAGATCCAGTTTTTACTCGATTTGCGAATTTGCAATTTTCATCCCAAGATTCACTCATTCAGACACTCGTGAGTCTACTCGTACCGAATGATGGGATCCTCTCACATGTAGTTATAAAATGATGGAGTACAACATGGTGCTAAATGCACCAAGTAGTACCTTCTCCCTTCCTCCTGCCTCCCGAATGTCTTCTTTCGTAGGAAAAACAGGAAAATCGATACATATTGCAGCACCATGTTACTGTGTGAACTCAGAAAGACATCTTCTTGGCGACCATCAGGTATAGCAGCTGGGGACATTCACGTTCTGGCGTGCACGAGAGAAGGAGATCTGTATTCCTGGGGAGACAACACGCACGGCCAGCTGGGGACTGGCGCCGTCGGTCCATGCCTGGACCCCACGCCGGTGGGAGGGAGCCTAACCGGGAAGACGGTGACGAAGGTCGCTTGCGGAGCGTTTCACTCGCTCTGCCTCACGGCCGACGGAGAGGTCGGACGGCGTCTCGGCCCTCCTGCAGTCGCCGACGTTCGGCTCGTCACGGGGCTTTCTCGTTCGACAGGTTCTCGAGTGGGGGCAGAACGTCCGGGGTCGGGGGGTCGCGGGGGAACCGCAGACGCTGCCGAAGCCGCAAGGGACGAGGGCCGTGGCCGTTGCATGTGGACGCGATTTCTCCGTCTTTCTCCTCGATTCCGGAAAGGTGTGGAGAGGCGCTGGATTTTCTTGCGTCGACGTTATATTTCTGGCACGCGTTCTTTATGCTTGATCTGCCTTGCTCTTTCGTGACGGCTTCCATGCATATGATGTGGCACAAAAGAGCGACTCCAACTTCGAACTTGAAACCATAAACGAGGGGTGTTCAAAAATTTCCTGGCCTGACCATGTTGCGGTGATTTTCCAAGAGATTCATAATAATTGTGTGTAATGTAACTGTCCATGTGGCATAGTTTCATCGACTACTGCTTGGATTCAGGATCCCAGCGATGAAGCCAGGTTTTCCATCCCCTTGTTCGTGAAAGAAACCTAGATTTGCGTTGAACCGATCCAAATTCTATCGACATACATTGGGGAAACCCAGGGGGCATAGACCTTTCACAGAACTTTCCCTGACCCTTTCTTCGATCCGCCCGTCCTCTAAAACCGAATCTTCAGCTGCACTGCAAGTTTCCACAGTCGTCACGTCTTAAGGTCGACCAGAGGTCGCCGACGATCGAACCTCATCGGAATCCAGCTGCCCACTTCTTCTCTTTGTTGTAATGAAGTGGAAGATCCTTTCAAATGTTCAGTAGACGCATATGAATATCCTTCGGTGACACGCCTTTCTTTCGTGAAAACGAAAACTTGCTACAGACAGACGCTCAAAGAAATAAATTCAAGAAAATTCAATCCTACGAAAAATTAAGCGTTCTTCGCGCCACATGCTTCCTAGTTCGAAGAGGAACAATGCTCGACTGACTCTGCTTGTCTGCACTGTGGTATTCGAAAATCGATGGTCGAAAATTATTGGACACCTCTCGGTTTACCGTCGAGTTTTCTGCTCGTATATTCACCGATATGGTGCCGTGCTTGGGGTCATGTTTCTCAACGGATTTGCAAAAAACTCACTAGGATTCATTGGATAAACGATCACGAACGATGCCCGAAAGAAACTGGAGCTCATGGTCGGACGGGAGCAGACGCTCGGCCCCGAGCGGGGACCCACGCGGCGAGGGAGTCCGCTCGGCCCCGAGCGGGGACCCACGCGGCGAGGGAGTCCGCTCGGCCCCGAGCGGGGGCCCACGCGGCGAGGGAGTCCGCTCGGCCCCGAGCGGGGGCCCACGCGGCGAGGGAGTCCGCTCGAAGGCGTCTGGTCGCTTCCGGTTCAGCGCGGGAAGCTAGGACGTTCGTGGCGGACGGCTCCCTGGGGAATTTCCATTGAACAACCTCGTGATTCTGGCGGTATTAGGGTTTCTTTCTTGTTTTTATTTTTATTTTTATTATTTATTTTTATTATTTAAACCATGTTCTGCAGGTATATAGCTGGGGAGCCAACGGGAGCGGACAGCTCGGTCTAAATCACACGCACGATCAGCCTCTCCCTTGCGTGGTCGACATCAATCTACGCTACGTCTTCGTTTCCCAGGTGCGTGTTTCTTCCGTTCCTTTTTCTCCGTCGAGTCCTGACGAAAGATTTCCCAACGGAATGAGCCCGATTCGTCGTCAAGGTGGCATGTGGCTATGCACACGTCTTGGCTCTGTCCGATGAAGGTCATCTGTATGTCTGGGGAGCGAACGAATGCGGCCAGTTGGGTCTGGGGGACAGGAACGTTCGTCCCGTCCCGACTCGGCATCCTCGTGAAATCGGGAGGTGAGTTCACCTTTGCTCGGGCCGAATGGTGTTTCTAAACGGGATGGGGTGCCTTCTCCCCGAAATGAAAGAAACGCGGAACCCCTTTAAGAGTGGTGGAGATCGGAGCCACCCACTACAGCCGTCTCTCGGGGGCGATGACCCGCGACGCCCGAGTCTACGCGTGGGGCCAGTTCAGGGATATGGCGGTCGCGGCTCCCTTTCCCACCCAGTTCCATTCGGTCGACGACGCCTTCGCCTCGTTCTCGAGTCCGTCCGTGGCGTGCGGCCCCATCTCCGTGGACGCGAGACCCGGCTCGTACGTCTTGGACTCCCTGAGAGCCGCATTCGACAACCCGGTGAGTGCACGTCCGTTCCACTTTCGTCTCGAGGCGTTCACGATGGACCCACGCGTGGACCCGTTGCGCGTCGTCGAAATGCAACGTGGCGATTTGCGTCGGAGTTGCGAGCCATGCAGCACTGCCGTGTCGTTCGTGGTACATCACAATAAACTTGTAGTAACGTTATCGTTACATATACCTCACCTGGAGACATGTGTGGAGCGGAACGGACAGCATCTGGAACATACGATTATGCTTTGTGAACCACACCGACCCGAACCTCAATTTCGGTCTAGATTTTTTTCGTACCACCCTGTAGAATGGAAGATGGAACTCGTGAACTCGCACCGACTGCGAGGAAGGCCACGTCGGAGAAACCGGTACTTCGTCTGCCCCGTTCCGACCTGTGGCCCGTCTGTTCCATCACGGCCTCATCTCACCCGAGTAAAATGGTTCTATCGGGCCATTAAGGAAAATGCTCTTTGCGACAGTAAACTAATTGGCACTTACGACGTTTTCTTTTCCTCGTCCTTCCATATCCGCCATATAGGAGGATGGTGAATAACGTCGACTCTTGAGATTCTGTAGTGGGAAGGCTATTTGAAAATAATTTTATGAAAAAATAACCTGCAGCGCTAGAGGTGACTGCCGCTCGAGAATTCCGTCCACCTACCTTGTGCAAGCGCCCCAGTTTGCGCTATTTTATGCACGGCAGAAAATCAGTTTAATGTGCATACGTGCCGTTTGGGGAAAGTACGACAGTGAAGTGAAGAGGAGAGGGGAAGGGAGAAGGGGGAAGGGGGAGGGGAAGGAGAAGGGGGGGAGGTGAATTATCGAAGGAGGGGGCTGTGGGAAGAGGGGGCTGTGGGAGGAGGGGGGGGGGGGGGGCTGTGGGACTTACGAGGGGCGTTCAAAAATTTTCCGGCCTGAGAGGGATGATGAACAGTTAGCACAATGTTGCTTTTCCCCCTGACTCTCCATTCAATTTCAAGAGGAAAACTAGCATGTTCGGTCACCCAGCTAGTATTTTTCTTTTTCCACAGGTTTTGAAAGTGAGGTCGCTCTCATGTTTTTGGAAAAAATGGAAAAAATTGAGCCTCGTGCAGTGATTACATTCTTGCATTTGAAGAACTTAACCACAAAGGAAATCCACACTGAGATAGTGACTGTTTTAGAGGACAATGCTATCTCCAATAGCATAGTGAAAATTTGGGTAGCTGCATTCAAACGTGGCAGGCAGAGCACAGGTGATGAGTCACAGTCAAGTAGACCAACAACTTCAATCTCTGATGAGAATGTTGACCGTGTGGAGGCTATGGCGTATGGAGAACGGCGAATGACCATTACGCACATTGCTATGACCCTGCAGAATAGTGCTTGTAGTGTAGAATTTATATAGAACAACCCCGAGATGAAGAAAGTGTCTGTAAGATGGGTGCCCAGAATGTTGAACCCAGAACAGAAGCAACATCGTCAGCTGGTTTCGATGCAGTTCCTTGAGCGCCATCAGGAAGATTCAGTCGATTTTCTTTTCAGGGTGGTAACCCAAGATAAAGCATGGGTTCACCATTTTGATCCCGAAACTAAACACCAAAGTCTTCAGCAGAAAAACCCAGATTCGCCACCCATTGAAAATTCAAGGCCATCACCTCTATAGGCAAGGTCATGACCTCCGTCTTCAAGGATGCAAAGGGAATTTTGCTAAGTGACTACCTGGAACATGGAACGACCATAACGGGTGACTATTGCGCCAACCTGCTTTTGAAGCTGAGAAAAGCAACGAAGAAGAAGCGTCGAGGGAAACTTGGCCGGGGTGTGCTAGTTCTCCAGGACAATCCACCAGGTCATGCCTCTCAGGGTTGCAAACGCTGCTCTCCGCCGATGTGGCTTCGAAATGCCTCCACAACCTCCTCATTCGCTTGGTCTGGCTCCCTTCCATTTTTACCTTTTCCCTCTTTCGAAGTTCATTTTGCAGGGAAATGCGGTCAGTAGAGATGATGACGTCACGGTGGTCGTTGACAGCTGGTTTGAAGACCAAGAATAATATTTTTTTATTGACTCATTAAGCTGGAATCGCGCAGGCAAAAGTGCATTGCTGTTCCAGATCATGTCGAAAAATGAAATAACAAATAACATTCGTGTTTTTCATGCCCTCAAGCCGGAAACTTTTTTGAACGCCCCTCGTAAAGCGAATTTTCCAACGTGCTCGGATATATATATATATATATTTTTTTTTTTTTTTTCTTTTTGCATTCTGCTAGCCAAAAATTGTAGGAGAAATAATGTATAATTGACACCTGAGTATAATTAAGTCCTGGTACTTCAATGGATACTATGCTGTGTGCCCAATAATTTTTGTCACTACATTAATAACTAACCATTACATTGCACGCATAGTTTATAATTATGAAATTAACTAATAAATAATGTAAACAAGCACAGCGATGTAGGTGTGAACGTATATGCCGGGGGAATAAGGGGCAAAATGACGCAGCTAAGAAAACCTTTTCGTAAAATTAAGAAAAATGGTCATATGTGACTTCAGTGTTCATAATTCTACGGTTGACTCCGAACGCAACTGATATAAGCATATTATAAGATTTTTTTTAACGCATAGAACTGTTGCAAACATTAACTGAATAGTGAAGCCACTGTCCTTTCGCCCCTACTTATCAGGGTAAAATGACGTAATTTTTCATTCACACAGATGTCACACAAAGATCTGCGGTTTGCTTCCTTCTCAAAACCAGCGCATGGATCCAATCCATAGCTCTTTTGATTTCGATGGTTAAAAAATTCAACATGCTCGTGGTAAAAAAGAAACACAATGCGAAAGAAAAAAGTATCATATAAATGCACGTAAATTCAAGTCAGTAGAGAAATTATGAATTTAGTCAAAGCTCTGCTTACTTTCAGCCATATCTGATATCCAGGGATAATATGCCGAAAAACTTTTGCCAAAATCAGATCAGTTTTTAATATGGAGGATGCTATTTGTGCGGATGACATACGGCCGACACGATATCCAAATATTGATGTCATCCTCCTCGCTCGTAAAATCGGTGATAATAAAAAATTGTTTCTCGTTTAAACAGGAACGAAGCGACGTGCGCATACTGGTGGAAGGGCGAACGATTCACGTCCACAGATCGGTGCTGGAGATCCGTTGTGGTTATTTCCGCACCCTCTTCATCGCCCGGAACGCGCTGAATAACGAGATCGAGATGCGGCCCGCTTTTCCCTTCGAGGTCTACCACGCCTTCCTCCGCTTTCTCTACACGGGGGAGTTGGGGCCGGACATCGAGATCGCCATCGGGATGTTGGAAGTGGCCACGGAGTACGGGGAGCCCGAGTTGATGCAGGAGTGCGGGAAGGTCATCGCGAGGGGGATCACGGTCGAGAACGCGGGGAGGCTCTATGCCGTTGCCGTCAGGTGCGGGCCGGAGAGCTTGGAGGATTTCTGCTTTCGGTTCTGCCTGAATCATCTGACGAGGGTGGTGACGACGGAGGCTTTTCGGGAACTCGACGACGGCGTCTCGAGGGCCTTCTTCGAGAAGGCTGCCCGGTACGGCGCCTTCAGGTATTGACCCGCTCGAACCCGGCGCTTCTCGCGTTGGGAGTCGATCGGGTGTCGCCTATACGCTGAACTTTGGCTCATCTAAAGCTCAACCGACATGCCTGAGGGCGATCTACATCTGGAAAGGTACGAGTGTACGAAAGGTAATTAAATAGTTTCGGGACTGGTTCTGCAAGGTCTTCATTCTTCAACGTGGAGATGTCCTTTTTTTCGCAAGTAACTCTAGTTGGGCCTTGAGGTGCATGCCAAAAATGTCTTGCTTTTTGGTATGAATTTGATTTTAAAAAAAATTTCTTTCGAATTGCCTCTTTGACCTCAACTTCTCATCAGTTTTGCGCGATGACTTCGCACAATCTCACTGCCAGCGGATGATTCCATGAATCACACCCGTTCACGATGCAAGCCATCGAATCCATCGTACTTCCAAGCATGTACTGTAGTCGCAAGTGAAGTACCTTCCTGAAGACTCTATTTACATACAGGATGAGGCATAAGTCGCTTTATCGAGAGTAATTATTTTTATATTTGGCTGTACTGAATTTGCAACATTGATTTTAATACGCTGTAGAAATAGAATTTCTACTCAACCGTAAGCTAGTGAACGCACTACTGCACCCTGCGTATTAAAATCAGTGTTGCCAAATATAAAAATAATTATTCTCGGTAAAGCAGCTGATGCCGCACCCTGTATATATAATACGCTAATGTGTTTCGTAAACCGCGTTGCGCCGTTAAGCTAATAAAAATCCTGGCATATTACGCATCGTTCGAATGCTTATTGTCAGTGGTGTGCACCGTGCAATCGGATTTGAAATATCATCAACCGAGGATGAGTTATAAGCTATCAAAAATTTCACCACTACGCTACCCCTGCACGGTGGAGCCCTGCACGGGTCGATTTTCCGGTACCCGACCCGAAACCCGAATTCTATCCAAACTTCATGACCCGACCCGAGAAAAAATTAAACTCTTTAACCAATGCTTTCCTGCGTATTTCCTCATCATTCCAAGTTGCTTTGCAAAGTCATGCTGTCGATAGTTGACTGACTGGAGAACATTTCTTGGAAGAGAAAGAGCTATACATATTTCGGTCTCGAGTGGCATTAACTGGCCCATGTCCGTCTCAAATTCCTTCCCTCCTTTATTTATATTCATGGTCATATAATTTAGTATTTCCTTTCTCTTTGATTGCATGCATAAATAAGATTCCGGTCGTGAAACAGAGTTTCCATGATCTCAGAAGAACGATAACATTTAAATGTTAAAATCCTGTCCGACCCGAAGAAGGATCTTGAAAAAAATCGGCGCTAGATGGCCTGCGGGTTGGGTTGGGTCGGGGTGATCGGGCCGGGCCAAAGCCCGTGCAGGGCTCTAACAATATTGGTTCCTCCAATAGCGAAGACGACTGCTGTTTTACCCCCAAAAATTTGGAATGATTTATTTTACTCTCTAGAATAAAGCACAGGACTGCAGAGCGGCATTGTTCATTCAATTGTGGAAAGTCATAACATTGTTGGCAGCACGCGTGAAAAGAGTATGTTTACGAATATGTGAGCGTTTGTTTGTGTGTTTACATGTGTTTGGGTGATTGTTAATTCATTGTTCGACGAAAACTTCAAATAAATATGCGAAATGGACCATGCGAGAAGACCTATTATAGGGCTAAGAGTATGGACTCGGATAACGAAGAGCAAAATAATTATCCAATGGAGTTGATTACTGCAGCTGGGTGTGCTCCCCGCAAATTGACTTTAAAGTGTGGTATAATCGCCATGGTCATGAGAGACCTAAATGGTAATCAAGGCCCGACGATGCCTCTCAAGAAGAAAGGGCGACATTTTCCAAGCCGTCTTGTTTTAGTCATGACCAGCAACAAGTGCCATGGGGCAAAATTTAAACGAATTGGATTGTACCTTTCTGAACCTGTATTTTCCCACTAACAGTTATATTTAGCCTTTTCAGGAGTGCGGCGCTCTCAAAACGGCAATGTGAAGATAGAGCCTGGACCCCGAAAAGGCTGATACCAAGGCATCAATGGCACTTATTCGCTGAATGTCGCGTTCCGAGAGGTTTTCAATTGAATATACTCTACAATTTTTTTAAAGTCAATTTCGAAAATTCATAGAAGTTTCACGCGTTCTTCAATGAAAATCAAGAGACAAAAATTTCTATAGCTACTGCTCTACGGTGGAGTTCAAAACATTTCCCATTAGACCATGTACTTGTGGTAAAATCTAAAAAATCTCGACATTGTCATTTCGCGCAATTTGCGGGGGGCTCCGCTAGTACTTAAGAATAATAGATAAGCAATAAATGGAAATGATTGAAGGGTGTTTCCAACATTCTGGCACACGCTTCACCCAAATAATCGCTGACCGCGTCCCGATCAAACGCATCAATAAATCGCTACGAAAACTGAAATGCTGTCTGATCCTTTTTCCCTTTTCCCACCTTTTTGCTCGTCGCTAAGTCCCAAGTATTCATTGCGGTCACCGCTGGTCGCACTTCTTCAACAATTCTCGTTTTTTCTTCGTCCTTGGAGCTCGTGGAAAACTTTTTGCGGAGAATTTGTGCGGTGACGTGTCTTTTTTAAATCCATGTTGAACTTCCGAAGTTCTACTTTCCATTCGCGATTTACGTCTCATGCAGAAAAAGCCAGATTCGAAATGGCCCTTTCAACTTAGAACCTTTTTTTTTTTAAATGAGTGCGTTCCTTAAAGTTTGAATATCCATCTGATAGCAGCTGTCGCCGATAGCCCGATAGCAGCTGTCGTCGATATCCCGATAGTTTCAGCACTCGGTTCCGCAGTAGGCAAACAGGTGGCGGTTTGCATTTCTGCATCAGGTGTCTACATGAAATGGCGATGTGCTATTTCAGGTTATTTGCACATTTCGAGATAGTTACAATAAAGTTTCGACATTGAAAGGGGAGGATATCCTTTGAAAGATTGTCTTTCTCCTCTCGCATAACATCATCGTGATTGTTAATTATCCATTGCTTTCCCTAAGTGTCAGTACATGAGAAAAGGAACTTCAAGGAGCAACAAGGGCTTTCGAGATAAACTGTTTCAAAATTTGTGAAGAAAGAAGCCGAGCAACTCGCCACTCTCTCCCAAATTCCATGGCGTTTAAGCACTTCGTCTTCCCCAATGCTGAGTGGGTAACACGGATTCGTTATCGTTCGTTCCCTCGGCTTTAAACCAGTGCACTGTGGCTGTACATAGAAAAAGTCTTCTAGGAACTGACTAATACTTTCCATTATGTAACTTAAAACTTTGGGGGAAAAATCGCAGGCGAATGCATTTTTTTTTAATCTGCAAGACAGTCAAATTTCCTGCAGGAATTCTGTCGAAGCGTTACATCAATTTTTTTCCCTCCAAGGTCCCTTTTTTCATGCACTGACACTAATCAGGAATCTAGAAGGTTGGGAACGTGGTTCAGCTTAGAGTAAACACGTTTCAAAATAAGTGACGTATTAGCTAATGTTAATAGGTTTTAGATTTGCCTATGAGCTAATCCTCATGGAAGATGTGCCCGATAGACAGAACAAGTCAGGAAAGACTAATACGAAATTCCCATGAGTCCGCACTCAGGTTTACACCTGGGATCTCATCCAGAAACAAATGAGGATTTTGGAGAAGCCTTTGTCTGTTTCGCCCCAGAATAGGGAGAGGTTCTTGCAAACCCTGGTGATGCTCGTGCCAAGGGAGGCAGGCCCAAAAAGAGCCAGAGAACTAAGCAATTTTTTTCAATCGGCACCCAACTCCTGACCGTATTTTTATTATTAGAAATTAATATATTCCTTTGACTGGATCTCGCTCTCGTTTAATATAAAAATGTACTAGTAATTACAGCTATTGGAGTGGGATGCATATGACTGGCTTCTCTAAAAGGGGAGGTAAGTGGTTCGATTGGTCGCTCGCTTCACTCCTGCGGCAGGACGAGTTAAAACCCAATCAAGTGAGGCATTTATTTTCGAGTGAAACCCACGGAGTGTTTGGGAAGTGGTGAAGGTGGCAGTGGTGTGGACGCGAACCTCTCCAGCAGGGATGCCCAAACTTCGGGAAATGTGGCAACAGAATTAATATCGGCCATCACTAACCGCTGTTTCTGGGTCACCTCATCCCATGAACTCGGCAACAAGACGTAAAGTGAATTTTGAATAGAAGATACTGACCCCAATAAGGCCGGATTACTCACCAATCCAACAGAACTCCAACTTGATATACACACGCAAAGTGTGAAAGTCAGTAATAGGAAAGGCGGGGGAGGCATATATGGGGGTGTGAACCACCTCCTTGAAGTGCACATGGGGAATATTGCCGCAGCCAGTATGTACCTCTGCTCTGTACCTCTCTCTCTTTCCTTAGCAAAGCAACCCCACAAAACTCCCGCTCCTTCGCAGCCCAAGAATCTCTCCTCTGCGACGGGTGAACTGGCGTAACTTACCTCCCTCGCCTCTAAATGAAAAAAAATGGTTGGGTTACCAGTGGTTGCGCCATTGCTAACCTAACCTTAATTTTTTCCCCCACGAAACGGTATATCGCAATGGAAAGGACGCGTCTCCTAGAAGCCCTTATCGTTCTTTTGGTTAGGCTGGCTTCTCCAAAAGCCCATCCCCCCTAGTACGGTTACGCAGGTGAGGGTGGACAATTACCAAACTGAAATTCACAGGCTAAAAACGAGAAACTACTTTTTCCGCATCCCAAGGCAGAATCAGCTTCATATTTGCTGGCGTGATTTGCGCTGAGTATGACGCAGGTTCAACTTCATTCCTACAAAGGCTTTAAGAAAGGGATAAGAGGGATTGATTGCTCAGATGGGTAGGGATTGAAGAAAGGGGATAGGCGCATTTGGGCCTATTGAAGAAGTTCCCCATAAAACATCACAATTTTTTGCTACTTCTGTCTAATGTCCACCATTGCAAAAGGGAACCATCATGTGGCTACGTGTCACAAGATCGTGGTATTCCTTTTCGAGAATTCTGGAAACAGTTTATAAGAGATTCCTTGCTGAGATTACTAAGGTAGTCTTCCTTGAAACAAGAATTTCCTAGTTAGACAGACTGTTTTCCGTCATCTGTCTGTTCCATCAACTCAGTCTTCTTCAGGCAGAAATTATACATTGAAATACATTGGAATTATCTTGGAGAGAAATAGCATCAGGCCCTTCAGGCAAAAAATCTGTCCACTCACTCATGAACACGAGCCATGCTTGGTGGCTCGATTTGAAAAACAAGCAAGGGATGAGCATCAAGACCATCAAAGTAAAGAAACTGTTATGTGGTTACAGGCCAAAAACACTCACTATAAAGAAAAAAAGAAATTTATTTTGGATCTTGTCACTTCCATCAGGTTTCTTTCGTCCTCAATAAAGAGCTTTGAACCATGCAGCACTCATCAAATCTAAGGACTCCCCAAAGAAACTCAATGAAATCTGACAACATGTCAGGACATAAAAGGAACCAAGTGAAATGACCATAGATTAACATGCAATAATGACCATTCAAAAATGATCATCCAATTAAAATGTTTGAAATCACTCAAATAAAAAGATATAATAATACCATGCTAAATTTAAAAAGAGTACAGTAATAAGGCTCATGGAAAGCATGAGTTCGTTTCTCAAACTGCATAACTTCACAGACGTATCACATGACATGTCAATGTCCTATTCCTGCTTGATTGTAGAAAAAAATAGTCTTAATATATTATTTCCATTTCAAGCCTCTAGAGAACCAGCCTGAAGACAATCAAAAACAAAAAAAGACACTGACTGACAACAGACAATCAAAGCAATCAGTTGCTCGATTGGTGGCTGGGGAAGTGAGCGAGTTGGAGATTCCCATTCACCACCGTACAAATACACCATCACCGCAGTGAGATAAAGCATTAGATTATTAATTTGCGCATGAGGTAACATGAAGGTGGAGGGAATAACACTTCCCAGGCAATTGACTTAGGACAACAAAATAAATAGCCATCTCAAGTATCAGGAATCATCATCATCAGGCTTAGTGAGTACAGAACATGAAGAAAGACACAAAGCAGTGCTGAACTAAGGCTTCTCAAACCTAGGTTGTAAGCCAACAAATTTGTTTTGTGACGCACTGATGATGAAAGATATAGTCATAATGATAGGTATACTGGACTGATGATAGGGGCAGTCAAGGACAGAGGTGCTAAGCAAATGCCAGCCTCAAAATCATGTGATTGCCACATTCATCTGCATGATGAGTCAATATAATGAGTTATGAGCTTGACCTACAAATGGAATACTCACCTACTCACCAAGATAACTGGACTGTAGTCCCAGTTAATGCATTCTGAAAGTTGCAGAGACAAAATTGTGTCTCATAAATCCAGGTCTGGAGTTTTACATTCACATATCCAGCACAAGCATGAGCACTAGCTGTCTATGATTTGACAGAAGGGCTCATATTGGAGTCCTCCATTTGAAGCCTGCTTGAGCACTAAAACGCTGAATTATATGGCCTACAAGCATAAACATTTTCCACGTGCTGATCTGTGCAAAATTCTTTCTGTAGTTTTCTTATTTGAAATGACCCATTTCATTTCAACCCATTTCATCCACTTATAGTGCACCTCTGTCTCAGGAACTTCCCCAAAAGCAGAATGGAAATGAGAGAGAAAGAGATAGAGAGAGAGCAAAAGAGAAGCTAATTGAAGGAGAGAGAGAGAGCATCGATGGCCTGGTCTGGCAGATTCACCTGCCACACTATCAGGTGACTCTGGTCCCCTCGAGATAGTGATCGTCTCTCACTTGTTCCAGCTTCCTCTGCTCTCCCTACTTCATCTTCAACATCTCCTGCAAATTAAAAATTCATCCTTGAATGAATGATGAAAATGAAAATCATTACATGGCTATGTCTCTGCACAATGAAGCCATGGTCTTTTTCTAGCAATAAAGATGGCATATTTAGTGCATGAAAAAAGTTATTGCATCATGTCTTCACCTCCATAGAGAAGAGGATGATGCAAAATCAGTGCACTCAATATTCAATAGATACATAATCCTTGTACTGGGTACATGCCATTGTTGAAACTCTGCTTCACCTTGCACTGTTTTCAAATTCCAAAAGTGCAAGATTGAGTGTGCATGTATGACACAAAAAAGATAACATGAAACCACTGGAGAATATTATGTATGGAAGAAAACCCAGATACAAACACAACACCTTGTCTCACTCAATGAATATTGGAAATGCAAGAAAGCTGCAATCACTGGCCCTGGTTGGAGTTCTGAAAATCGTAGACTTCATGGACTTGACTGTAATGTTTAACAGTTCCTTTTTTTTTTGGAAACATCAGTCTACGCTACTTTATGCCAAGCCAAAAAAAAAGTTTAAGGCAAAGATGGGAATTCCGCAACGAATTTGGAGCCCAACTGTTGGTGCGTTTGTTTGACGGAGGCTGGATGCATCCACGTCGAGGCAGTCACACTGTATAATAACTTACCGGGAATGTAGGGTAAAAGACCCAGTGATGGACCGGTCCCCAGTGATGGGCCACAGCACATAAAAATTCCAATACCTAAGTTTCCATTGCAAGCCTACCCATTTTGTGACATATGCTAGCAGCATTCAAGCATATGTAGGGTAAAAGACCCAGTGATGGACCGGTCCCCAGTGATGGGCCACAGCACATAAAAATTCCAATACCTAAGTTTCCATTGCAAGCCTACCCATTTTGTGACATATGCTAGCAGCATTCAAGCACATAGACACGTTAGAGGTGTTCATGGAACAAATGCCTAGGTTTTGGAATTTTCCTGCTATGTGGCCCATCACTGAGTACCCGCCATTAACAGGCCCATCACTGGGTCTTTTACCCTATGGAAAAGCCGAATCCAATTACATAAAACATGCAAGGATACCTTTCTTTGGATACATCAAATACTTGCATTTACCGAAGTCTACCTTACTCACTGGTTCTCGGCTTATTCCGTAACCTGTCGATTCCGTAAAGGACTTCGGCGACTCCCGTATCATTAAAGTTAATGGCCTATGCCCCGTCTGCATGAACAAGATAATCAATATTCTTATCCCACTTTTGTTACTTCAGTTCATTCAGACTTCCAGCATTCCCCACTAACATTTAGGCTATAATTTGATGGTCCCAAAGGTATGTAATCAGCGATGAAGAATTGGCGCCGCATGATCTTTGCTCTCCGAAGGAGCAAGACGGAAGCCAAAAGAACCCTAACAGAGCTTTTGTTACATTTGCTTTGTGTTAGTAGCCGTATTTTAGAAGGAATTTTAGCCAATCGCGCAGTCCGTCATGATCGCACTCATCCGCAACTGTCTGTCCGATCCCCTTTGCTCACAAGACTAATTTCCATAACAGACGGCAGGGGCAGTTTAACTTCCCCGTACAATCTGGTTTACAGTGATAAAAGCTACATAGCGAGTTTGAACTTCAGTATCTTAAACTTCAGCGTGCAGGCTATTCCATCGGTCGATTTCATGCATAGTACCACGGTAGAGGCGAAGGAGACGGCAGCTATGCGAAACAAAACGATCTCGGAGACCATGGTAAAAGCCTAATATGTTACCTTCTACACACTCTATAGTATACCACGTAATTCCCACCGGAAGGATAGATTTCCATCATTCAATGATGACTACGGAACGAGAGGAGAAATGGGGAGAATTCTCGTACATTTTGTAAATTGGGTTAATATGTGGATGAATAAATAAGAAAACCAAGAAAACCAGGCCAAGAAGCTGCCTCTCTTTCTTTTAACAATGTCCTCTTTTGCTGACTTCCACGCGAATTATCCCAAGTATTATGGTTGCACCATCACGAAACGCCCACCAAGCAGATGGAAAAGAAGCGTAACGAAATTCGCTGATGTATTCATTGCCAACGCAGGTAATATCGCAACAATTCATTGCACAGAAAAACAATTTCCTTTGCACTCACGTGACAATTGAACTCTGCTGGCACACGTTTTCGACTCGATCCGGGCACCTTACCCACCTTTGCCCTAAGTCAAATTTTCCTACAGCAAGCAGTGTGGATAATAACTGCATCACGGCAACAGCACATATAGTGGCTCCGATTACAGAAAGTGGGCGACGATTGAATCTCTCACAAAAGAATGGGACGTGACGAAAGAGATACGTTGGGGAATTAACATCCAAATAAGCGAGTGCTACGGAATTCCCAGTTTTGTCCTACAAGTACAACACTTCAACTACAACAAAGCTCTCCTGTTGAGGATAAGGAGTATGAGACTGAAAAGTATGAGTTTCTTTCTTGAAGAAAGATACAAAATTTTCTTATGATTCAATACTTTCCAAGAGAAAAGTTGACATCTAGACAGTAGACACAAGCCCGGTTCTAAGCAAGTTGCACAGATAGTGGCGATGGAAATTTCACTTCCATAAATTTTCCAGGAACTCCCACAGAACTTAACAAGATGAGATAATCTGAAGATTCAGAGTGACATTATTGTAAAGTGGTGTTATTGATAAACAGAACAGAGAGCTTGCATTCCATTGGATATTTTTTCTTAATAAACCAAGGATGGTTTATTGCTATTGGGCTTTTTGTACATGTGGTCCTGAAACTTTTCTTTCAAGGCTAAGAAAAATTCTAAATTATTCTATACCTGCACAAACCTCTGTTTATTACGAATGTTGTCAGAGCAGATGCACAAAGTTGGGATGCCCTGTGAATGGAAATTGTATCTGGTGAGTAGTGAGATAGTCATGATCTGCCATAGGAAGGATGCAGATTCAAAAAGAAGGGACATATCACATGCATGAAAAAAGAAGCAGTGAAGACTGAAGCCAATTAAGGGGCTCACTGCACAATCATTTCATGAATTCTCTTATGACTATTTGAGGGTCAGTAATTTCATCACTTTTCATGAGAGCCACACATAACTTTCAAATGGGTAGTCCTAATTGCATATATTCCTGATTTGAATTCTCCAAGCAAAGCAAGCAAGAAAGGGAACTGTAGGAAGCAATGGCAAATAAGACAAACTTGTGGGACCCAAAACCATAACCCCAGAAAACATGATAGAGAGCAATGGTGCATGGGAGTCTCTATATTGGTATGGTATACCTCTGTGCTTTAGATAAGGAAGGGTGAGACAAATGGAAAAGGGAAGGGGGAAAAAAGGGGAGGACCTACCTAATTGAGAGTCAGGAGGAGGAGGAGGAAGAGGAATGCGAGTCAGGTGACCATGGGAGCTGCCACACTATTAGGTGACTGTCTGCATCCGCTCCTGCTTCCTCCCCATCATCAACTACATTGGTAACACACAGTCACACCATGATCCTCAACTCATGGTGCCTTAGAGGAGCAACAGGACATCTGTGTCCTCAAACTGTTTCCTCCTGCATCTAGGATGCAGGAGGATGATATGATGACCTTGACTGATGAGCATCATAAATCTAATTCACTGGATGTCACCCAGAGGGAGTTGTGAATTAGATCAATTTTACTTAAAATTTGTAAAGGGTTCTTATTCCCATTCCACTGGATCAATTGAGGAGTTTTACTTTCTATACACAAAAAAATAAATGGTAAATGGGAAAATTATTCAAGAGTTTGTTCTTCCCAGTATAATATTTGATACAAAGGTTATTGGGAGTACTGACTGAAATCTTTGTATTGTGCAAAAGTTTGCTGGAAATCATTCCCACTATTCCCAAGATAGCAGATCATTCTTCTACAGAGTAGGGTCACCAGCATTATCCCAGCTGCCAATGATTGGGAAATTCATTAAAAAAAAACAACAACTTGACTGGCTTAAAATTCATCACAGCATATATTTCTTGGACTGGCAGACATGTAATACTTTCTGACATGCAGTGTCAGCATAATGCCTTCCTGTAAGTAAATCTATGAAACTCCCTAATTTGGATCATCTATTATAACTCACAAGTCAAGACAGCTCTCATGGAAACCTGCTCCATTCCTTAAGGTGCTCTCAGATCATGAAAGTTGCAAAACTTGCCATATTAACAGATCTAGCACTAACCAGCCATTCATATATGGATGAACTCCATTTGTCTATAAATCTAAGTCTATATTTATTGTCCATAAATCTAAGAATGAATAACTTGTAAATTTCTGCAGCTGTTTCCTGTTGCACCATTGTAGTATGTGAACTTTGCCAAAGAAGAGGTCAGCATTGTCCATGTTTACTCTCTGCAATCTCTGCAGTCACAAGTCATACCTTGAGAACTGGTTACTCCAGTCCATTGTTAGCAAACAGAGCTCAACCCATATGCATATTCATAAAGTAAATATGGGTATGCAACCACCAATACTTCTGAGCAACAAATGAGGATCACATGAAAAATGGCCTTGGTTGATTGAAGCAAAGAACTTTCACATAAGACCTTTGAAATATGAAAAATTACTTAGAACATGACCAAATTTTTCTATTGTATTCAGGAAAGGAGACAAAGTAAAAAAAAAAAATAAAAAAAAACTTGAACAGGAAATTGAAAGCATAACAGAACATGAAATTAAGAAAAATAAGATAAAAAAAAAAACAAGAAGAAAAGCAGAATCAGGGAGTATGCACTATATCATTCAGGGCATTGTCAATGTTATGGTGGACATACAGTGCCCAATAACACTCTCATAACATTAATTTGAAATGAATGTTTTCATTCCAAAACATTTTACCACAACTCAGTTGGCAAAGTGCAGATATGTTGATGTTGAAGTTGAATTTTGAAAAGTGGGATGCCCATCAATGAAAGAGTCAAGAGGATGATCACACATATAAGCGTCCTTAACATGCTTTGTTGGCATGAATGGCCTCATAATATCATAGGATTCTAGTATGTCGATCCATTAATGAAGCAGATCAAACTGTAGAATGTAATGCTGTACAATTTGTTCTGAAGCCTGGATTATAATTTAAAATTTGCATACTAGCACCATTATCTTTACCTGCAATAATACTTGCAAAATCAGCTGTCCCATTGCACCTTTGTATACCTTTACAAGTACAGAAGGGATATGTGTGGTTTCATCAGTTTAGCATAGCCAAGTTAACTGGATTTTGCCCCATATTGATAATGGTTAGGGGATTAATTAGTTCACTTTGGCAGCAGAGATAATATGAAAGCAATCATTAGACATTGAACTTTGTGCAAGCTGGGATTATGTTGGTGCACATTGCAGGGTTATATATCTGAGAACAGAAATGATAGAAATCATAGTATAGGGAGAAGAGCAAAGGGAAACTCACCAATCCGGAAATCTATGTACCCTTCCCCCCCAGAAATGACCAGCATGGACTTGGGCTTCTGAGTCTTCCCACCAAATGTGGCTATAGATGTGCCTGGGTCCAATTCACTCGGACTAGGTTGACTGCCCACGGAGTGAGAGGCGTCACTGTTTGAGGCTGCACTCATTCCTCCTGATCCTAAATGAGACACCCAAAGCAAGGTCAACATGACTCATCCTGCTCCACAGAGCTAATTAATAAACATGTGAATTTCAAGCATGGGAAGGGAATCTTCCTTTGGGTTCTTACACCACTAAATCCCATTACAATAGCACATTTCCAAGCAAAGTAAATGAATTTCTTATTACTTATCCTGGAAAGCCTTTAGCACAAACTGTATGATGTGTGCAAACTGATAGTGGGTATTTCTTGCAGCTGATATTTGCCTAGCAGTTGGAAGACTGTCTCTGGGGCTTAATCTGTAGAGCATACAACAGCTCATTTGATAAAAACTAAACCTATACAGTTTAACCTTTATTGGACGGATTTAAATCTCCTGCATAAGTGCTGACAGCTAGATATTTTCTATGAAGTTTGTATAACACTTGTTAACTGAGTTAGCAAGTGTTATACAAGCTTTATCATTTAATATCAGAGCATTTTTTCCAAAAAGTTGCAGTACAGCATTTTAGGCCTTGGAAAAATGCTTTCTGTGGCACAGCAGTTGTGACATTCATAAAATAAAGGTTAATGTACAAATAAATGCATGTATGTATGATAAAGATGAAATATTATCTATGGAGTCAAATCATTTCCTTTTTGAATATACCCTACTAACAATTAAAACTTGTCCCTACTGCTAGATCAAATGTAAGGCATTCTGAAATCTATTTGAGATATCCATGGCAATGGCTAATTGAGAATGAGATATATCTCAATTTGGGCTCATCCACCCAAATCAGAGACGTACTTAACCATTTCAGACCTGAATTAAGGCTGCTATCAGAATAATATCCTTTTTTGCATTTTTTAGCTTTTTCGTGATTGTAAGTGAAATTTGCATGCTTTATATGTATTAATAGTTTTTATACAGGGCTAGTCAAAATGATTGCAGCGGTTTCAGAAAATTACTACAGGTTTATTATTTGACATATACTTACAAGATTGCACAGATATATAAACAAATAGTGAAAGTTTTTTTTAGTGTTTACAG